CGGCCCCGCCTCCCATCGCTGGTGAAACCCGGCTCCACTCGCAATTACACCGCAAGCTGGCTGCCTCAGATCCTGAGCAATTAGGAGCGCCAGGCCTCTCTAATTAACCAGCGGTCCCTCTCCCGCCCCACCACAGCCCTCCCTAACGAGGGCGGGCAGCCTGGGCGTGCGGGCCCAATTACTGAGGGGCGGCTGCCACAGGTGCCCGCCTCAAGGGTTCCACCCGCACGCTCCTTAGCTTGTGGCTGCTGAAACCCGTTAGCTTGTGGCTGCTGAAACCCGCCAGGGTTCCTGCAGGAGACGCCTCCGTGTGGCCAGGAGCCCCTGCAGACCTGCCCCCAGGCCTGGATCTGGATACTCCCCACGTCCAATCGCCCCAGCAGCGGGGGGGGGGAGGGGTTGTTAAACACAGATCCGCCCCCACCCCCAGCTTCTGGTCTGTAGGTACAATGGATACTCCCCACGTCCAATCGCCCCAGCAGCCTGCCCATGGCCACAGTCTGCCCATGGCCACACGCCTCCGGGACACACCTGCCCGCCATTGCAAAAGGGGAGGAGGTAGGAAGTGGAAGTGGAAATAAACAGAAGCACCCCAGTCACTGGCGAACCCAGAGTGGAGGGACCCGGATGCCCCCCCGCTAGGCCAGTGCCCTGTTAGAGCTCTCTCAGGCCCCCAGGGCTGCCTCTGTAACCCAGTCACATCTGTAATGAATTACCCACAGTCCCAGAGGGCAGGGTCTGTGTCTCCACACGGCATACCTGTGCCGGCACGAGGAGGAGTCCAGGACGTGTTTGTTGGCTGAGAGAATGGATGACACGGTCCTCCCCTCCCAGACGCCAGTGCCCCGATAGGGGCTAATGCTTGGCTGGGGGCTCTCCTGGTTCTCTAAGGATCCAGGCCTGGCCGGTGGCTGCAGGGTGCCTGTGTGATATCTTTGATCATCTCCCAGGGGCCCGGGCCCTGTGGACCTGCCCACTCTGCTCAATGCAGCTTGGCCCTCAGAGCTCTTCCTTCTCACAAGGCCCCTCTACCACAAAGACAGCGGTTCTCAACCTTCTGGACCTTTAAATACAGTTCCTTGTGTTGTGACCCAACCATAACATTATTTTCGTTGCTACTTCATAACTGTCAGGTTGCTACTGTTATGAATCGTAATGTAAATATCTGATATGCAGGATGGTCTTAGGCGACCCCTGTGAAAGGGTCGTTCGACCGCCAAAGGGGTCGCGACCCACAGGTTGAGAACCGCTGCACAAAGGTCTCAGCTCTGCCCCATGTCTTCAAGGCCCCATGATCTCGCTTCTGTCCCTCCTCTAAGTTCCCCCTGTTCCTAAGTCAAATCTGATGTCATGTCCTGTGTTTTTTCTTCTTTCGGTCCACTTCTCCCTGCCCTCGGGCCTGCGTCCTCACGGCCCGGGGCTCGCCCAGCCCGTTTCCAGCTCCACATCTTTGCTGGGCTGCTCTCCTGAGCCCGGAATGCCCTTCACTCTACTCTCCGCCTCTCAGAAGGCTTCAGGAGCCAGCGCCTCCAGGCAGCCCGCCTGAATGCTCTTGGTCCTGGAAACCTTGGTCCCCGCTATGGTCAGAATCACTCCAGAGAATACTGTCTTCCCACTTTGACCATCAGGACTTGAGGGAAGGGATTATTATGGACACGTGTCCTTTTGGATTCCCCTAACCCAGGATTAGCCCACAGCAGGCTGAAAAGGCAGACCGATAGCATAGGAAGTGCAATCCTAGCATATGATTCGGCTTAGAGGAGAGTTGTATTTACTGAATAAAAACCAATAACGTTTATTAAGTACTTACTGTGCCATACAAGGCTTTAAGAGTTCTGCATATAATATTTAACCCGCATAACTCTAGAAGGCATGTAGTATGATAGTCCCCATTTTACAGATCAGGACGATGATAAAACACATGATTAAACAAGCGTTCTGAGGCCATGCGGCTAGTGGGAAAGCCGCATTCTCACCTGGGCCTGTGAGGCCCAGAGGTCCACTCCCCAGGGCTGGCCCCAGAAGCCAGGCCATCTGACCTTCAGGCTCCAATCCTTCCCACCACGAAGCATAGGGTACCATGTGCTTACACATGTGTACACACACACGCACACGCACACACATGCACTCCTGGGAGCTAGGATGCAAAGCCACAGAGCTGGGCCAGCACTAGAACTGGTCCAGGCTGGGCAGCCAGAGTGGCAGGGCCAGAGCAGGGCTTACCTTCCTGCAGTCTTTGCAGAACACGGACGAGCTGCCCAGGTAGCCCAGCACCTCTCCACAGAGCAGACACTGGGACAGGCCGTTCCCCATCACGTTGTGTCTCATGGTGTCCAGCCGCTCCACCAACCGCCTGCAGCATAGAACACGGTCCGATGGAAGGGACTTCCTGTCTCCCGACCAGGCCCGGACATGGCTGCCACGGGCCCGCCCTACACAAGCCTCGGGTGCTGTTCCCTCGCCCGGGTGTTGTTCCGTGGGTAGCTCTTGCATTAAACGTCTGCCCCCTAGTGGTCATTCACTTACCGGGGAATACTGACTGAGCATCCGTGAGGGGCTGGATGCCGGGAATATGGTAGCAAACAAGCCAGAGGCAGACATGGCCCCTGCTCTCACGGAACTTACGCTCAATAAAGGGCGAAAGTCCAGGCACCAGGAAACAAGCAAACTGCCTTCCGAGGGGAAAGCGCCGTGAAATAAAGTGAGTGGGCGGGAGGGAGGCTCCGAGGGCCAGGGACATGTTAGACGTGACCCGGGGAGGCCTCTCTGAGGACATCCGAGCTGAGAGCTGAAGGATGACAAGGACCGAACCACGAGCAGAGCTGGGGAGGGAAAGCCCGAGGCAGAGGGAAGCCTGGAACGTTCCGTGAGGAAGGGCCCGCACACCGGCATGATCAGAAGGCCAGGGTGGCTGTGCTCTGAGCACATGGCAGGGGGCCTGGGATGAAGGCAGGCGGGAGGGGTGAGGAAGGCGGATTACATGGTTCTGTCGGCCACAAAGCGGAGCTTGGATTATTCTCTCAGATCAATGGGAAGCTACTGAGGAGTTTTAAGCAGAGGAGTGATTTGATCCGAGTAACATTTTTAAAAGCTCACTCAGGATTACAGGGGTGTGTGTGGGGGAGGGGAGGTGGTGAGAAGCCAGCAGCCGGTGGCAGGAGTCCAGGGAAGGGGGTGGAGCCTGGGATGAGCTGTGTTTCAGAGGCAGCCTCGATGGCCTGGGGGTGAGGGGAGGAAAGAGAGACCCTTGAAGGCACAGAGGCCTTTGGTTTGAGCGACAGGGCGGATGAAGCAGAGGGGGGGGGAGAGAGAGAGAGAGAGAGAGCGCCCATCTCTGACCTCTGATGCTGAGTGCCCGGGAGCCTTCCCTGAACCCCACTGGGCCTGGGGTAGGTGCCCTCCTCGGGGTCCCCCAGCCCCCAGCCCACTGTGACCCCTGTTTCATGACAACCGGTAAGCAGTGCTGCGACCTCTGTGAAACGGGTGGCCACTGCTGCTGTGCTGGCAGCAGTATCGCCAGTGCCCAGTGGACACCCAGTGAGAGTTCTTGAGTGAATGAAGGACAGAGTGTGGCTACACTATCTCCTCTCATCGTCACACCCTCCCCACCCCGCCGTGAGGAAGATGCTATTCCCATTTTAAAGATGAGAAGACTGAGGTTCAGAGATGTGGAGTCACTTGCCAGGGTCACACAGCTCTTAAGAGGCAAAGCCTGGGTCCCCACCCAGACCCCACTCCCATGGCAACTCGATCTGCTCCCAGACTCTGCCTGGGGCCAAGGGAAAGCAGACTGGGCAGGAGGCAGCCTCTCCCCTTGCCCTCTAGCCAGCACTCCTGACCTCCACGGGGTCACGGTCCCTTACCAGGACCTGCAGGGCCTCCGGAGCATCCGCCCTGGCCTGACCCGCTTGTTCTCGGGGACCCCGTCAGTACGACCTCCTGTCTCCTCACTCTCGAAACACACGGGATGCACCCGCCTCCTCCTTCTGAGACGATGAACCTGAGGCACTGCCTTCTGGGCCATTCTGTGCCCCTGGCAAACCCGGTGCTCGCCGAGGGGCCAGACCATGGGAGCCACCCAGGGAGGCACAGGCGGCCGTCCAGAGGGAGGAGCGGGCATGTGTGCTTTCCACTGCACAGAGGCGCCCACGGGGAACACCCCCCTGCTCCCCGCAGCCCCCTCTTGGGTGTCGATCGTCAGCTAGGGGGTCTGTGAGCGCCTGCAGGGCCTGGGGCAGCACAGGGCCAGAGCCAGGTCGGGTGGGAGAAAAGCGAGACAGAGTCTGATCTAAACCCTCCTTGTGACGACAGTAAGAGGCCCGTGTGACTGAGCCATGCGCACGGAGCCGCTGGGGGAGCAGGGGTCTTTGCAGGGGTCCTTGCAGGGGTCTTTCATCGTCTGGAACGGGTGTGTCTACCGTGTCCGACTTTTTACAATGATCACACATTTAGGAGAAAAGGAGAAACAGAAGAAGCACATGGAGGTTGGAACCAAGTGAGCTCCGCGCGCTCTGCGTCTGTTCTCCCACCCGTGCTCTTCGGATTCCCCAGGACCTGCGAACGGCTTTTGGAATGAAACAAGCGAGAGAAGGCCCCACAGAGCGGGTTGAGGACCGTGAGGTCGTCCGCTCTGGAGGCCGGAGGCCGAGGCCGGGACAAGAGCTCAGCACAAGCTGGGGAGTGTCTCCTGTTGGAGTCTCAGGTGGGACCACCCAGGGTGGGCCTGCACTGAAACTCTTCGCTGCTGGGCCATGGCGGGCCTTCGGCGTGCAGAGCTGCACAGTCCCTAACACACCCCCACAGCCTGGGCCCACACAGCTGCCGCTATCCCCATCTTACAGGTGGGTATGCTGAGGCTTCGATGGGCTGGCTTACGTGTCTACACTGCAGGGTGGAAAGCCAGCCCTGGGGCGAGGGCGCCAGACTGGCCGGCCCCTGGCCTGGCACTGAGCGCCCTGCTCTCCTCCCCGTCTGCTCTGGCCCAGCCCGAGCGCCCTTACCCGATCCTCTGCTGCTCCTGGACGTCCAGCCGCTCGGCCCTCTGGATGACCTGCAGGATGGCCTCCACCTCGTCCGGGCTGAGGCCCTGGCTCTTCCTCTGCTTCTCGGTCTGGTAGGTGTGCACAGACCAGCCTGTGTGCAGCCTCGGGAGAGAACAACACAGGCCTGAGGCCACCCCGGTGCAGACCCCAACACCCCGCCATAGCCACAGGGGGAGGGGTTCAGGGAACCGGGAGCTGCCAGGCTCCGCATGCCGGCTCTGCCACCCACTCACAGAGACGGCAGCACCATCTCAGCCCCCCCCCCCCCCCCGGAGGCGGGAGCACGGAATGCGCCCACTGTACAAATGGAGAAGGCACGGCCACGGCCATGGTGTGTGAGGTTTTGAGGGAGGAGCATAGAGGATGAGCAAGAGAAGAAGAGAACCTAGATCTGCGTCATAGAAGACAGTGAGATGGCGCTTAGGAAGGGGTAGGAAAGAACTGTAATTAGGTTTAGCATGAACCTTGAGGATAAAAGGAAATTGACAAGCATTTTGAAAAGACAGGGTTCGAGGGCAGGAGGGTAATGGAGCTGCATGAGAGGAGAGGTGGCCGGGGCAGGCAAGAAGGAGAGGTGGCTGGGACCTGGCTCAGGGGCTCAGCCGTCTCCACTCCACTGGGCTGCGGTGACACCTCCTGTGGCTGGGGCTGTGGCCAGGGCCGAGGGCAAGGACTCAAACCTTTTCTGTTTTTCTGGGTGGGGAGAGGGTGGCAGCACCTGGCCCAGCCCCCCACTCCCTGCCCTGGGTCCCAGCTTCTCCGAGACATTCTGTGCCAGGTGCTGGGAACAGAGATGGACAAGATGGCAACGTCTGCGCCGTGAAGACTAGAATATGCTGGGGAGACAGACGCCCAATCAACGGCACAAACATTTATTTAATTAAAAATGACAAGAGCTATTTATTCCACGCACATTCGTTGATGCCAGGCTCATCGGTGCTGGGACCCGCTGCTGGGGGCTGCAGGTGGGTGTCAGGGGGCTGTATAGTAAGGGGAACTGAACCAGTCAGAGCAGGGAGGGCACCAGCACCGCCACCTGTCCCCGCGGGCGCAGCTCCTACCCAGCTCCCTCAGGGCCCAGGGCCAGCCT